GCCTGTCTCGAGCAACTAAGGTCGTCCTGCACGATCAGCACTAGGTCGTTTTCTTGTGAATCACGTTGTAACTGCTGGTTCCAAAGTCGATATTCATAGATAAACTGATGGCGAATGTTTATGTCTTTGCACTTGGTCACGTTAAATTGGAACCGGTTGTCGGATGACCACACATAAACCATGTCGAGATCACTCTGCAATGCCATGTGATCATCCGATGTCCTGATATCATGCCAAATTTTGATATCATCTGCAAATAGGAAGAAATTCGGCTGCAGTACACTGGCAAGGTCGTTAATGTATGTTAGGAATAAGCGTAGCCCCAGTACCGATCCTCGGGGCACGACACACTGGACGTACATTGGGTCGAAAATGGAGCTGCGGACTCTCACATTCAGCTGATGTTGAGAGAGGAAGTTGCCGATCCGACAGAGTATAGGGTCACCGATTCCATAGCTTCAAAGATTGTGAAGGAGAATGCCGTGGTCCGAACGATCGAACGCTTTCGGGAAGTCCAGGTAGACAACATCGACTCCCACTCTGGCATCGACTGACTCTGTCCAACTTGCTCGGGCTAGCAGCAAGTTTGTAGTGCATAATCGATTTCGCCGGAATCCGTGTTGCTGTGACACTAGGATGTTGTTGCTCTCAAGCTATCCCATGAGCACCTCTGCAATTATACGTTCCATCACTTTGGATACAACTGGGAGAAGAGTGATTGGACGGTAGTCCGAAGGCTCCGAACGACTACCACTTTTGTAAATAAGAGTGACTAGTCCATGTTTTCATATTGTCGAACCCCGCATTGCTTCGAGACAACGTTGAAAGAACCGAGATAATGATTTGACAACGTTCAAGGCCGCTGTTTTCAAAGCCTTCGGTTCGATGTCGTCCACGCCAGGTGAGTTGTGCACCCGCAATGACATTGGCGTTGTCATCCCATTGACTGCCGTGAACGATACGTGGTTTAACCCTGGTGGCGATGGAAGCTGTGTAAAAAACAGGATAATATGATGATTTACTCCGGAAAGTATGGATGTAATGTTAGCGAAGCACGTTGGCTGCATCTTGTGCGGTTTGCGAAAGACCATCTGTTGCACGTAAAACCGGGATCCCGCGCTGCACACTGCGGATGTTGTTGACGTGTCTAGACAGCAACTTGGGATTTGTATTGAATTTTGCCGCTAAATTCTGTTGGTGCTGGAGTTTGCCTTCACGGAGCAAATTGATGCAGTGGTTTCCTTGAGTTGTATAAGCATCCCAGATCAGGTTACCTTGATAGACTTTGTAAGCGCGCCAGGCTGAATCCCTTAATACCATGCATTTTCTAGTACGGCTCCCCAGGAACGAATTCACTTGCTTCTGGCGAAGGACCTTGCTTTCTGACGCATTTGCCACTAGCTCAGTGAATTGGGTGACGAACAATATCCAGGCGACATCGGGAAGCTTCGCCGCCAGGAAGGACCAGTTTGTTTCTTGAACGAACTTGGACAGTATATCGTAATGTATCACGATATAGGTTTCCAAGTTGTTCTCCCTGATGTACATGGAGTAACAGATGTAACTAAAGAGCAACATCGCGTGATCGCCAGGGCCAAGTGGTGCATTAATGGTCAAGGTGTCGACCATTAGTTCCTCGTTAGAGAGCACAAAGTCCAAAACAGAGGGTGTGTCACCCGTTCGGAATCGCGTAGGCGAGGGGATATGGTTGTACAGAGGTACATCGGCGATCATCTCTTGTTCACTGTGTGATGCTGGAAGTTCGACTGCGTGCACGTTGTAGTCCCCTACCAGAAGGACGTGACTGCATGGTCGTGCCAGGACCCCTGTCATCGCAGAAGCTAGGCACTTATCCAATTCCAAGGTGAACATTGGAGGGCGGTAAACTATTGATAGTAAACACACATTACATCTTAGGTGCATATGACACCAAAGAGAACCGACCACTTTCCTTTCTGGATCCTCAATGACATTAACCTGCAGACTGTATCGATAATACAGGAGCAGTCCCCCTCCACTGCTAGTTAGATCGTTTCGTATGGAAGTCATACCGGGTAGTGCAATCTCAGCATCCGTGACCTCCGTGTTCAGTCATGTTTCGGGGACTATAACTAGGTCCCAAGGCGTGGAGACCTGACGCATACGAAATTCGGTTAGCTTGCTGAAAAGACCTTGTGTATTGGTACACAAGCAGATGAGGGCATCGGTGGTCAGAAGCGTGTTTGTGAATGCTGGTTTCCGGTGAGGGTCTATGCCGACCATTGCGAAGTTGGATGCCGGTCGTCGTTTGTAGACCCGATGGCACAGGCCCTAGGGCCAGTTCGGGTTGTTGTATAGAGCTCTCAGCGCCAACAAGAGATTGACCATCTTGTCCTCCTTCGGCTGTTGGTGTGTTTCGGCATTGTTTCCGTTCGGAGCTACACGGTGACAGAATTGTATTGGTACGTTGCTTGCTCAGTGTTGCCTTTTCTATCTGTAGTCTGGTGCTTATTGCCTTTATACGTATTTCGGATGGCAGCAGTTTACGCTTTTTTTGCCACATTTTGATCCCACGTTCCCCCGTCAGTTCGGAGTGCAATAATACTTTCATCACTCGGGGACCACACCCTTTGTAGTTAGGTGATAGCGGTAACCTTGTTGTCAAATTAGCGATAACATTTTCGAGTGAGAGCACTTCACGAATAAAACGCCATTCATCCCAGTCATGCGCTTTGGCCTCTAGCTCTCTTAATGTCTGGAGCTCGGGGACACCGTGAACAAGGATAGATTTTGCGTCTTGTTGTTTACGGAAGTCATCCGGATTTTGTTTGTGTTTCTGGCGTTCGCTCCAAGGAACATCTGGAAATATTCCAACAGGGCATGTGATGGTAAGGAGGCGAGTGGCTGACAAGAGAACGGCCTGGGCATCATTACCTGACTGCAGTGTAACCTGGAGTGACCGCGGTTCACCGTAGTGTACGGAGTTTGGGTGACGGACGAGACGCATCATACTGACTGGTCTAGCTTGAACCCCTAGTAGTTGACACATGGAGCACCACTGTGTTTGTTGTCGTGTAGTATTTTATCTTTTATGGACTTCGCCCCGGATTCAGTTACATTAGAGCATGTAACAGTAGAGAAGTATGGTAGTGTCTCATGTTCTCCTTTTTGGAGGGACCAGTGGCTGCTTTCTTTACTTGGACAAATGATGGGACCTTGAGTCTCGTGGTGGTATTGGCAGTAGTAACTCGGTTGGCAGCGGGCGGGGTTGCAATGGGAGGTGCCTCCGTCATATGGGTAGCAACAACGGACGCATAGTTTGTCGGCCCCCTAAAAGGGTTTAGTGTGGCGGGTGATTCTGTTGAGGAATGTGTAGCGAACGCACGTTTATGAGCAGCCGTTATTGTCGGGCTGGCTAACTCTGGATTGTTACCTTTACACTGTGCTGAATTGGAGCTTGATGTTGTGCATCGAGTTCGAGGCACTGGTTTGTCTGCATCATGTGGGACAGCTTTCACTGCTGCTGCCTGCTCTACAATCCTTGTCAGTTTATCGCACTTCTGCGCCGACACGGTTATATATCTGATGAGTGGAACAGACGTACACTCAGTGCAGAACCAGAGATAATCGGTCGTACTATTAGGTTTTTTGATTAAGCTGTGACAAAGGTGAGCACATCGAGAATGGAAGTATTTTCGGAAGTTTCTGCACTCCATTCTAAATCGCACAAGTTTTACATAGCTGTCTACGCCACAATTAATGTGTATTTCGGGAGCCTTAGGCTTAGCTTTCCGTGGGCAAGCAGAATGTGCGATTGCGGCTGTCAGATCTGCGGATGTCCTTCGTTGGAACGTCTACACTGGTATGCTGAATCCAAACGCAGTCGGTCAAGCTGGTGGTCTGGCAGACTCCGGTTAGATTGCTGTAGAACAATTCCAAGATGGCGGATACTGACGGCAGTTGGGCCAATCAGTGAGATTTCCGACAGTAGCCGGCGAATATCCACCAAATTAGCACAGATGGAAAAATACACCAAAAGCAAAATATTGGTGCAAAATTCTCACAGCGAAAACACGTATAACACAATATTTCCAAAGCAAAAGTAGAACCAGTACGGTAAAGTAAAATCCGCGGCGTCCGTGGGTGCGTGGACTATGTGTAACGCAGAATAGGCCTCATCTACATGATTTCGAGCCGGTGACTTTCGGAGTACAAGGTAAGCTTGTAATTCTTCCGGTCACCGACCGGTCTTCCTCCTCCCCTTCATCATCATCAGCAGCAGCAACATCAACAACAGCAGTACGTCAGCCATACGCATTAAGGCCTCACTACCATACAAACACAACAACCTACGAAACAAAAAACAGCGAAACAACAACAACAACAACAACAACGGTGGCTTACCGGAAAAACAATAATGCTCTAAGCAAACATTCAGCGTCAAGGCAGATACATCTTTACAACAACATGCCGTCACAAACAACTGGCTATCGGGCAAAGATAAGGCGGGATCGTCGATAAAGCTTCCTTGCGGCTTTAACTGCCCTGTGTCATCATCAGCCAGCTAACTCAGTGCCAAACACTTTAAACATGTAATCGTACTACGGGACGACAGCTGACGCGCCATTGGTACCGACTGCGAGCCATATTCTCTAAGGTCTTGAGCCAAGCACAGGGCGAGTCACGTGGACTTCAACATCGAAGGCGAGGCGGGCCCTCATTATCAAGTTTGATTGTCAGTGACTTCATCATCCTTTCCCAATTCAAGTTTTGTCCACCTCCAACCTTTCGTCAACCTACATCTGGCGGAGTCGGTAGTATGACTATAGATCCTGGCTACAAGGAATGGTGACGTACAGGGACATCAGATAGAATCATGAGAAAAACAACCGTCTACCAACGTAAATGTACTGCTGCTGGCTGCCAAGTGGTCATCAGCGACGAGGATTAATACTTCTTTAAACTGAGTAGCTGGCATGCACATTTTAATAATCTATGCGTTCAGCAGGTACTTGTTAGTGTTAAGATATGCGTATAACATAGACCAAAAAGGTAGAATTGATACCTGCTGTGTTACCACCGTTGTCAGTATCATCCAAACGGAAACCCCATCGCAACAGCAGTTGCACGCAGCCAAGACGACCGTGGAATGCTGCACAATGGAGCATGGTCCAACCATGTATATCCGTCGTTTCCACATCCTATAATATGAAATAAAAGCACATCATTTCGTTTCAATTCTAGGCACACGCAAGGATAATAGGCAAATTGAAGGGGATGAATCCCACACCATGTGGAATAATACATCGGAGATGATATAGTGCACAAGAGCACCTACGAGCAGCGCTCCCAAACACCCCAACAAACTAGTTGTTGCCATTTAGGTGCTTCATGATAAAAATAACCGGGAAAATTTCATTAAGGAAAAGCATCCTGCTACATGGGTTGCATATCTTTCAGGCTACTCGACTGATGAAACAGAAATCGCCTTTGTCACGTTAACTATCAGCACATTGCGAACAGAAGTTCTCCTCTTTATCAGCGTAACCCAAGGAAAGTGCTTTCAGGTCGCACTTATTTATTTATTTATTTACTGTCAAACAACAAAGTTTGCATGTAGCAAATGTATAGATGTATTAGCAAACTAAGCGATACAAACAATATAATAGTTCAAATAAGAGAGGTGCATTTAAGCTTTCCAACACAGGCTACCAGATATCAGCACGAAGCATGTAACTACGTTGGAAAGGTGCTCAAAGCGGACTTTAAGGTATGTTCCATACACAGTAACAGAGAGTTCTAGTCCACGCAACTTGGTCTTCGTGATCGTTATTCATCGTGGATATTAAACTGGTGAGGGTAGCAAAGACTGATGCAGATGAATAGCATCCCATACTATTCGACGCGTCTTTGAGATCCAACCACTACAAAGTAAAGTCTAAATGCAGGCGCATTTGCAAGAAAGCTAAAAGGAGTACATTTCTTGAGCAGTTATTTGATGTTGAGCGAAATTAGTTGACATAACAAATCCTTACTACCCAACTTGTCATCATTATGCCACACCTATGCCAAAAGATGGTAGATGCGCGGGCGTCATGTTGGAAAGAGGCGAAGCAAACCATTTCTATGGTTTAGCCTTACAGTTATTCTGGTCGGGATGCTCGTTTGTACACGCCACTAATTACGGCGGCATCATTTGTCGTGATGTAAACTGCTGATGACGTGTAAGAAATAGTTTCAGCACCCGAAGTCAATCTGTGACTTATTTAATGCATCCTATATTTGTCCATATTGTGCCTTTTTCTACAAAAGCTCAAAACGCCTTGTGACTTTGAGATTGTGCGTCGTAATTCAATCACACGCGTACTGCCATTTGACTCTCCAATCAATCGTTAACGGTTGTGCAACATAGTTCCCGGTTGTGCCTTGGTGACTACAGTGGTAGAGGTCCCAAGTAATATCCAAATGGTCCCGGGTTCCAGGCCTGCTATTCACAGGTGATAAGATCAAACAAGGTCGAAATGCGTAGGGCAGTGGTGTTTTCGGGCAAATAACACCCAATTTTCCTACGTTTTAACTGCCTCATTCTGGAGACAACGTAACAAACCGTTTAGGCATCATTTAAGCAACCCGTAAGCTCTGTATTTTGCCTTATCAGGTTGCATTAGTACACAACAAATATTTTATCATGTATTAAAAGTAATGAGCTGCGCGGTTCCAGGACTTACGCTTAGCTGGATTTGCTTCGGTGCACATATTCCTTGGTTCATTTTCATAGGGGAACCAGCGATGTACCTATCGCCCTCTGATCTTATGTAGTCTATCGTGATACGCTAGTTACATAAAATTCCAAATGCAAGACAGCCATGCTCGCTTGGTCAGAGCCTAACTGAGTACATATTGAAAAATTTCATCAGTATCCAACCACGCAAATTAACCCACATAGTAAGGTCACCCGTACGATACTTGCATAATGATTCTCTATTATCTGGAAGTACCTTTGTTACAACATCTTGGCCCTGGGCAGTAACCAACTGTACTTGTCGAATTCTTTTCACTTGTCCGTGTGGCTATTGCGTTCATTTAGCCTTCTATTCTGAGATGGCAATTTTGTAGTTCATCAAATGGTGGCAATTAGCAGCATACACACAAAACCCCAGTTTCTAACAGAGCACAAATCATTTAAACCGAAAATCCTCTGGTCACCTGACATCTCATCTGAATTGTCCTCTGACTGCGACGAGCAAAAATACTCACAAAAATCCTTCTACTCATAAGTAATACAAATTCGCCCTTACGGATTCCATAAAAATGCTATGTCGATTCATAGCTGCCGTAACTGGGAAGTCCTGACACCGGAAGGCCAACCGCTGTCATCTGCATGGCAGGTGTCTGCATGGCAGTGGAGGATGGGTCGGGCTATATCGCAGTTAGATAACAATTCGTGATAGTCGGCTACCGGCCCCCATGGCGCAGTCGCATAAGCTGCAGGCTAGTTGGCACAAGCCACTACCGGTCATGGGTTCGATCCTCCGCAGAGGACCGAAGGATGCGCACCACTGACGAGCCCCAATAGGGCGAAACGGCCGTCTGATGCTTTTCCGGACACGTAGTTGACTTATCTGAATTGTCCTCTGACTGCGACGAACAAAAATACTCCCAAAAATCCTTCTACTCATAAGTAATCTCAAGCAAATTCGCTCCTTCGTTGCACTAAGTCAGCAAGGTATGTAGTAATCTCCAAGCCTGAAATTACGGACTGCATTGTGCCAAGAGTTGGGTTTCTGTGACTGGTACCGCATGCACACCACATACACCAGTTACTCCCAATACATGTTTCTGCTTGTCCTTTATGTCAACAGCGCCAAAGTGAGCCGACCGAGCACCTCTGGTGTCGTGTGTAATGTGGCTTGTCAGTTTTTGTTAAAAAGAGACTGGTGGAAAGCTGACAGATTTTCATCTATTTTACCTGTCATTACTTGAATGACTTTCACCAAACGATGTTGTCGGAATCTCCTCAGCCTCACCGACTTTTATCTGGCTATCGTAAAAAAAGACGCAACACCATTTTACCAGAGAGCCATCGTGAATATAAGGAGTCATAACATGGTGCAATGACTTATAGAACTGGGAGTCATACAGTGGCAATAACCACGTGAGTTCGGAGTCACTCTCTCTGGTCAGGTCATTGGTTAGGGGCATGTTAAAATCAGTTTCAGCACTCCTCTATCGGATGGTGCAGAGACATTGATGGATGTGTTCCTTTAGGAAGTACATATGTGAAGCTCAGGTCTACAGTATGTATATACAGGCTTGTAACAAACCTAGAACCTGATGAGACCTTACTGGTGCAGAGCGGTTTGAAAATATTTGGTTGATGTATTTTCTGGGTAATGTTTCGCTTTTGACACAGCAATTCCATCCGGCCAAGTATATTAGTGCACATTTGGTGCAGCGTTTCATAGCGAATGATGGAGACAGTTGCGATAATAGCAGCATGAGTCTAAGCTCTAATGCAGACGTAAGTGGAAATGTTGTTTGTAGGAGTTTTACCGTGCATCATCTTCTAAGCGACGACCTTGACGGTGGTGGTTTAGGTGACGATCTTTGCTAACCAGCGCATTTCGTCCATTGACGCTGGTTCGAGTGGACGGATGAAAAGCACCGAACACGCATTTGAGAGCTGCGCATCTTCCAAGTTGTTCAAGGAGCTATTGACCTCGGTTGGTTCCACAGCATTGTCAGCTGACCAGTGCGTGTTGTTCGTAAACGCTTCCCCATGATCCTGAGCTTATCCAGAGCTATTCCATGCCAAGTGTGTCTAGTGCATACACCGCCAAAGCCCGGCCTATAATAAGTACTTCGTTATCGAACCTGCCACACAGCGGTCGCCAAATGCATCTTTCGTGCCTTTAAATTCCGTGTGAACATTTTCTTGTAATGACCTATATATATATATATATATATATATATATATATATATATATATATATATATATATATATATATATATATATATATATATATATATATATATATATATATATATATATATTGCCGCATGCTGAGGCTGATGTTGCATTCTTGATGCTTCTTCACCGCAGTTGGGCTAAACCAACTTACACTTAAACTAGGTCTTTTTAAGCTGAATAAATTTCATTCCGCTTTATTTGATTTGTTCTGCCTCCCTGAATAATGTTCTATTAACTGGCCACGTTGCTTACACTAATTGCGCTTATCTTCGGTAATTTTGTTGCGTTCGTAGCATTTTAAGTAACTTGTGGACATTTCTTACTTTTCACGGATTTGTTGCTAACCAAATTACTTCATATGGTAATTTAGCGAAGAGTTATGCCACCGTATCTGTTTGCATTATTGGATTTATTTTATTTCAGCTTGTCGTTTAAAGTGATTGGCTGTTGTTTGATATCCCTGGTATGGTTGCGCTTGATGTGTATGTTGACAAGGTGCCTACCTGTCTATTACCCACTACGTCGTCCATACTGGCTCCAGGAGACAGTTGTTCGTTGCTGGAGGGGACGGGGTGCACGGTTCTTGTGGCCGTGCTAGGCTCAAAGAGCGGTTCCATGCACTCAGTGTGAAGCGGACTACGGTCCAGCCACCGCCTTGTGTTCACTTGATTCCCAAATACAGCGTGCTTGTGTTTGCCTGTGAAGGAGTGTGGGCCGGCTCCGTTGATGAAACGTGGTTCCCATCCGCATGCCTCCCGGTCTTATTCCTTCGGGTTTACACTGGATATGGGGTATGTGGTTAGAGCTGTGGGTGGTGCAGCGCAAGCCATCCATGGTCCCTCTGTAGGCGCAGGCGTCCTGTGGCTTGTCACAGTGACAGGCAAATCCGAAACCGGATGCCGCCAACCATATATATATGGGTGTAAAGTCACTGATGTTGAACAAGTGCAGAGAGCTGATTGTGCGATCTGTGGAAAAGACGTCTTTCTAATACACTATGGGATCAAGGCGAATTTAGCCCCATTGGAAGACCAGCCTTGTGCCCTCCTAGGCCTGTTGGAATTCCGCACCACATACAAAACCAAACAGATGTAACAACCGGTTGGACGGGTCATGTAGGATGGGACTGCGACGCATATTCTTAATCGAGACCGCAATTCCCCCTCCCCATGAGCGAAATGACTAAGTTTCACTACAAGGTGAATCGCGGTCCATATATTTATTGTTACTCGCAATCCGTTCACACAACGCGTGGTCAAAATGAGCTTTCTAATCAGTCATTCATAGTTTCGACAAGCGTTATCTACTGTCACTCGGTGGCTAAAACGTGAACGCTTCGGCTGACACCGCGAGGTTCCCCGGTTCGAGCCGTAGTCCCACTATCTTTACCGGATGAGTGCAAACTGGTTCGAAATCGGCCGTAGAGTGCAAAGGTTTTGGGCAGGCAACAGCCAATGTTACTATCCCTTAACCGATTGACCGGTCGTTGACCGATCGTTTATCCAATGGAACACTGGTCCAAACTGGCGATCGAGGTCGGGACCATTTCATTCCGCCCCACAACCTCAGAGGAATTGTTTGATGGTCACGTGTTTTTACGGTAAGTGGCCTGAGATACACCTTCGTGGTGACGTGAACACATCAAGTTATACGGTGGCTAAAACTTCTGTTTTCTGGATTTGGGTTCCCTGAGAAAATTGACATATAATGGACCATAATTTACAAATTAGAAATTCCGTCAGTTCTTACAATCGTGATATGAGTCATGTAAGAGCTGTTCCCTACAACCCCGAGGCCAACGGTATGATTGGACGCACAATCCGCTCGCTAAAGGAAAGTATACAGGCGACACCTTTGTCCTGTATGCAATGGGAAGATTTAGTGACTCAGGCTCTGTTTACACACAGAACGTTGCATCACAAAGCCACCGATCGCACACCAGGAGAGCTCATGTTTGGATGGACATTGGGGACGAAATTATGGGCAGCTGTATCGGCCCCGAAAACAAGGATCCCACCAGTTTGAGCGTCGCCGACGGAATCAGTCCACCTATAGCAAGTTAGCCTTACCACTGCGCCCCGAGATGTTCATCCGACTACGAGCAAGGAAAGCATGAAAAGGGCAACCGACATTATCTCGCCAGGTCAGTATTGCTCGAACATTGTGACCAGGAAGGTACTAGCCTGCAGTTGTCGGGGAAACTTAACGCCAGACAAGTGCACAACCTATGAAGCACGTCAAAGGATTGTTCAACATTCATTATCAACTTAGACTGAGGACCCCAAAATTATACAGTGGCCGGTGCCTGGGCCTTGGTGGTGACCTTATTATGGCCTACCAGATTCTCAGAAACCCCAACCACGTCTGTCGCCACCTACTACAACTGAGTCACAACATGAATTTGGGGGGGTCACCAGTTCAAGTTAGCCACGCAATACAGTCGGCGAGAATGTCGACCGAACTTTTACTCTCTACGTGTATGCTAGCCACGGAACGCCCTCCCAAATTACGTTGTTTCCGCCCCACTTTACCTGTGTTTGAAAAACGCCTTGACGTTGCCCTAACCCACCTACACTAGGTGATATAGCCTGTGTGTCTCAACAGATGATATAATGTGACGAAAGTTGTACAATCAGAATTAACCTAAACAACTCGTTGGCTCTTTCTGCGTGCCTCTGTGTTAACACTGTGGTGAGTCCACCAAAACCATTTTCATTTTATCCCTTTGTTTTTTATTCACCATGTTGTGGTTCTCTTTGTGGCCATCATACGGGACTTGCTAAGCGTCCGCTTTTTTATCCGTTCCATTGTTCCATAATGCGGTGTCCACATCCCGAAACGACATCAAAGTGGTGTACTCAACCAATCAGCTTCAGCAGATGACGTGCTTATTTAGGGAGGTGGCTAGTGACGTATACCCTCAGCCTTAAGAATCCGCGCGTGACGCGCGTGCTTTGCCTACTACGGATTGGACAAATACATGCTCGTTGAATGCTAACGATCAATACACTATTATGTTTCCTTCACCAATCCATTCGTGAGAATACAAGGCACTTAACAGTTGATACGCACTGTTGTGTTTTGGCTTGAGGCTTAGTACGCTTACAGGGATACCACAACAGGATAACTTGAATCTTACGAGCTACGCAGTCTTAACCAACTTCACATTTCACATCATGCTACACAAAACTAAAATCCTACTGCAGGACTGGCTTAACGGAGGTTTTCTGATACTATTTATCCAAGAACAACAAAATAGTGTGTGGATATGATGACATAAATTGTCCGCGTGGTCTCCCTTTAGGCTGAGCAATGCTTAATATTTAGCTAAAGGTACCTACTTTATATTTATTCTGCAACGCAAAATATTCCTTCGACTTTCTTGGAGACAACAGCTCAGGAACATTTGGCAAATCTGTACTTAGCGAAAAAATTCTCCACCTTTCGGACGTATGTAATTAATGGATGAAAATGAAAATTCTATTTAGAGATGCCATGCTTATAAATAATTCGTGTAGTTATCCATTGTGACAATGGGCTGTGCAATTTGATAGGATTAGCCTCCAGCTTCCCTTATATTGTAGTGGAATACGCTATTTATTCAATAGCATTGCCCTAGTATTATTATTATTTTGCTTCCTCCAAAACCAGTTACGTCATTTTGTTATTTTGTTGATTAAACCTGCGACGATTTCATGAGTTGAATCTCAAGCTAATGTGCGCACCCATGCAAGTTGTACAGCCACAAAGTCACTAAGGAGTAAAAAAGTGCCGGACTCGCGATAGTTGAATGTTGGAATGGCTGGATGTCTTGAATGCTCATACTGTGTGCATATAACAACGGCTCAAAACAAGAGCAAAGGCAAGGATGACTTGTTGATTACTTTTAGGCCACAGCGGAACACGGCCAGATGGGACACGGAGGTGTTCGCGAAACCTGTCGACAGACTACTTTGCATAGAAGCAGATCTCCTATGGACGGTATCAGGAATGAACGTATTATTTCACCTACATCTTCAGCTGTATCTGCACTTATGTTTATTGCCAACTGCACAAGCTTCTGATTCATGCGGCTTGTCAATCACGCAAAATTCGTTTGGGTACCTCATTGGAAAATCCGACCAATTACTTGTTTTATGCGACTCCGCTGTACACGGTGGTCAGACCATTCACAATTAAACTGGACGCTTCATTACCGAGGAATATGCCGTTTACTTATTTATAGTATGAAAACATTCGTGTCACGCAAGTAAAAACTTGCTTCGATTTTTGTCTATCGTGCAGGTTTGTGTTGCTACAAGTTCACCCATTCTATGTGATCATCTACTTGCCAGATTAAAAGTATATTTCAACGCAGTGTAGATTGCGACAATAGTGAATAAATCCCATTTGTGTTTAGTAAGAGGATTGAACGATGGCAGTGTGGCAGTACTGGAATCTCTATAAATGATATGTGTTTCAAGGATCATCAATCATATACATGAAACTCAACATCACGGCCCGAAGTATAATGGAGATTTATGAGGGATAAGCGACAGTTAGCACAGAGCAAGGATCGTGGTGTTTTTCAGTTCACAGAGCAATGAATACAGCCAGTATACATTACAAGAAGCATTGCTTTACAAGTCTCTGGGTTGTCTGGTGGGGTTATCGAAAAAGTTAATAAAAGGAGTTAGTGCTTTACACATCAAATGAATGACGTGCAGTTTGTTTTGATGTGGTCCTTCACTCTGCATAATTTCATAGCACCAACAGGTGATAGCTAATAAATCCCAAGTATATTCTAGGAGTAGAATGCCAAGATAGTGCTAAGTAACCAAATGTAAGTGGCTGAGTGTGTCGCCCTGTCGCCTTTTAAAGCGGAAAGTGTCGGTGCAGAAACAGCCGATGAGGAAGAATACACACTAGGACAAGCTAACGAGCAGTGAGTGAAGGAAAAACACAAATTTCATTGGTACATTATGTTAGAGAGTAATTATTTTCAGTTTTACCACAACTGGCTGAATCGAGTTGATGCATGTCGCTTTCATGAATAGGGAACTGAAGATCAGCCTCCTCATTGTTTAGTTACACCGACGATATGAGGCGAACGCGAAGACAGTGGAATTACTCATTCGTTCCCTTATTTATTAACTCCGCCTGCATCACATTACCTGGCCCTTTTAAATAGTAACAATACTACTCTAAATTACTTTTGGCCATGTGGGTCATAGCAGATTGATTCATCACAGATTACTTTACAAAACCTGTTTCCATAAACTGTACTGTACGGAGTACTAGGATTGTGGGCTTAACAACCACGGCTGATTATATTTAGTGGATAATGTTAATTTGATTTAAACTCACCGCGCCGGCCCGCAGCAGAGACAAAAGACAGGATGAGTTCCCATGAATAGCAGCCAGGTGGCCTGGACTGAGTCCATTGTTGTCCTGCGTAGACAGGCACACTCCATGATCGGCCAGCGATTGGACACAAGCCTCGTGACCTCGGATCGCTGCTATGTGAACCGCTGTCCAGCCACGGTCTGTAACAATCATAGGGTCTGCTCCTTTCCACAACAAAAATTGCAATATCTGGGGAAAGTGAGTAATTATATCTTCGTTTTTACCTCAGTTGCACCAACGTTTGCTGTCCTGTGCAACGGTGTAAAGTTCAAGTCGTCAATCTCATTTACATTAGCACCATCGGAAATCATTTGTCTGACTGCCTCAAAATCAGCCTGCTTCACCGCACTGTGCAGAGTGATATTTCTACTTTGCTGCACCATCCTGATGTAGCTGAAAACGAAACGGTACCATTATTCTAGTATCCAAATGGACCGGACTGTCACAAGATAGACTTGACCAGAAGGTAGGTTAATTTAGATTGCATCAGTGTAAACAGTTCGGAACATGAAATATCGAAAGACATTAGCAGCTCAGATTCACTAAATGGGTGTAGATTTGATCGCAAGACCGACCAATGGGATTGCAGACATCTCACCACGGATCCAAGTGACCTCTGCAGGGCCTACTAGTAGGGAAATCCGGATTTAGGAATGCTGCCGTCAAGTGAATAAACACATTTAGCTTCCACAGAAAGAAGGAATTATGTTGTGGCCCAATAAAGGATGTGTTTGGCCACGTGCATCAGTGACTTGCGGTATAATAAAGTTATGTAACCCATCAATCATAGTGGAATGCGTTGTATCAGAGTAGGAGTAAAGCAACATAATACGCCCTCGAAATAATGTGGGAACTTGGAGGATGTCATAAACTAAGCTTGCAGCTAACCATTGAAGCTCAGGCAGGGCGGTACGAACTGGTGCATGGTACATAGGATAATATTTCTAACACAGAGCAGTCGGGCTCATTTGTGCACATCATTTGTGGTGCCATTTGATTCCACACTGCGCCTTGTGCTATCGACTCAGCTTGTCGTGACGGTAGGGTGTAGGTTCAACGCAACAGCGCCATCCATTTTCAGGGCTAGTGGAATGGTACACTTTGCGCCGGTCGCCCGCGGTGATCCATTATCCACTGAGTTCCTAGCGCCTTCTCGTCTCACCATACTGCCTATTAGTAGGGCACCAAAAGCTGTTTATAAGATAGTCACTAAAAGAAAGATATCACAAATTATTTACATATTACCTATTTCATTGGAGTTTAACCCAGATCCTTCAAGTAATTTGCTTACCATCACCCGGTGAAAAGTACCGCTTTCATCTTGTGTATTAAAAGTTTGAATTATCACTTATTATTCACTGCACTCATTGGCGAAATCTGACACTATGATAGCGTCCGGTAAAACCGCGCAAATAATTACGCAACCGTGAAATCCGTTTTCTTGCTGACCGTATTGGTACATGTCCCCCCACCCCCCACTTTCGTTCATTTCAAAACTGTAGTCTTCTTCCTGGTAAGCCATTTGGTCGTCGACAAGCTATTGTGAATTGGTTTGTCACTGCGGCCTCCAAAGGACAGCCACAGCATGCCTCCGCCTATACGGGGACCATCGGTTGCTGGCGCTGCACTTTCCACAGCGCCATTCACGCACCCCATACTAATTGTAAACCAGAAGAAATAAGATCGGAAGGCGTGTGGATGGGACCCACACACCTATAACATGATCAGCAGCATTCCTGTCTATCTAATTTGGGAATCATATGTATCAGACCTACAGAAGGCGATGGTCTGGCCATAACCCGTTCCACGCTGGATGCATTGAACCACACTTCGAGCCTTGCACCAACACATGGGACCGTGCACCACTTCTCCCCAGTAATGATTGGCGGTCTCCTGGAGACAGTATAATTAAGGCGGAGAACGTTAGACAGCTAGGCAGCTTGTCAACTTTCATACCAATCTCAGGAACACCATGGTTTTCCAACAGAAACATATATGAATGAAAACAAAAAAACAAAATGGACCGCAAATAAGCGTGGTGCAACAGCTCAGGGCAAATACACAGTATAACTGGGATCTTGGGCAATTGTAAGTGTGTCTGGGGATATTAACCAACGGGCGATGAAATTAACAAAACCGCAAAATGAATGGGGAATAGGCGGAGAATCAACAGACCTGGGAAAATAAATAGCAATGGCTTAGGACAGATCACGTGTGCATCAGATGCCTTACTTAAATACCCGGATATAAGTGTATGCGAAATATGACAATAGTGGCTTGCACATTTCAAGGGTGCAATCTGTGGTTAACATAATAAACACTTATTAAGTTATTTCACACTGCGCGCATACACGCACACTTGCACACGAAAATATCGGAAGCTAATGCACTTCCCTCTAGAACCGACAAGTATGAATGGAAGGTGACCTTGGTACTCAAGTCTATGAGCAACAATAAACAGCTATACAGGTATGTGAATGCCAAAAAAGCTTAACCCTTGAATACCACCACTCAAAACGACCAGTTGCCCAACGAATATTGCTGTGCATACCGCGAACAAACTACTCATGCAGTTTTCATCCGTAGCTACAAATACGATGGAGCCTTCGCCCTAGCAATTCCCACCGAAGGTCGTCGACTTATTCGACGTCATCTTTACCCCAGCAGCAGTCGCAAGTAAAGGACAGTGTCTCCGGGGAAAACAGTGCCTGGCGAATCTACGAGATCTTTCCAGAGGGCCTTAAAACTCTTACCCCTCGCTAAAACAGCACATTTTGCAACCATTTTCTAAGGTCCGCTTGACTCCCATACCCTCCTAGTTGAGTAGAAAGGCGTAATCTACATTCGGATCTTGCCAACTACTGACTTAATACTCTCCCCTGTTTTATCAAAGTGATGGAAGCGGTAATCGCAGATGAGCCAAAGCGATATTTTGAAAGTTTGTAAACCATTTCCAATGTCCAACATGGTTTCAGATGCAGACGAGTTTGCCTCACCAATCTGCTTCTTGATAGCGACTCATTGACCAGGGCGACTGATGAAGGAATCCTCATAGATTTGATTTAGTTAGACTCTTCTAAGGCACTTGACAGGGGCAAACACTTTGTTTTCCTCCAAAAGCTTGCGACATACGGTATCAATGGTACCCTGCTCGCCTGGCTGCAAGATTGCTCACACGATAGAATAATCAAGTTAAGAGTAGCCGACATACTCCGGAAGCCTGTGCGTCTCTAGTGATGTAAGGCAAGGAGCCGCCCTCGTCCCGCTGCCGTTTTTGGTCTGCATCAATGATTTCCCAGAAAATATTATATTTCCGATGCAAATATTTGCAGGTGATGATAATATGGAGAGAAATTCGCTCAGCATCCGATCTTGCTTATCTCCACAACGATCTGGACCGGATTAACGAATGGGCAGAAAGGAACCAACTCCCAACGAACCCTGCAAAGTGCCACCTGCTGACGGTGCATAGCAGCTTCAACAAAACATATATTCTGGAATAGCATATTTTGTAACAGGTGAAGAGTGAACGAGTCTTAGTTATCATCGTACGAGAAGGTCTTGGTAATTCGCTCCGATATTCGAAAGCAGCAAATGTGGCGGACTTGAATTGAGGTTTCTGAGGCCAACTCTCGACAGCTTTGAACGATCGTTATTACATTTGCCGATTAAGTCATATATTCGTCCCCAAATTGAACATGCGGTTTTGGCCTGCAGTCCATGGTTAAAATGAGACGTGTCTCTTGGAGCAGCCCCAAAGAAGAGTCATCAAGGTAACACCTGTTATATCTGGTCTCAGTTAGGAACTACCACTTCATTTACGCGATGTGTTCCCCTCAGAATAGCATTACTTCGCGGAGATCTCATACTCACATACCGGGTACTAATCATAAGTGCGTATCCATTTACACAACTGCTGACCCTAGCCCCTTATAAAAATTGTCGAGGTCACCACACGAAACCATTAACGCAACACCGGTTTATATACTAGAAACTATTTTGTACTCCTGGAATCTGTTCACACCGGAAGGCACAAGCAACACATGCAGTGAACGCACCAGACATCGCGAATTTTTTAAGACTAATAGACTTACAGCTTATTGACAAATGCTAGCGAACAGTGGGACGTACTGCGATGTCTAAATTACTGATAATTCACGTTTTGCATTGGAACATTTATGCATTTTAGTTTCCTTTGCATTTTTCATCCTGTGGGTCTTGTAAAGCTATGCTACTTCTCCTACCATACACTCTTGAACTATGGAACACTTGGCTGATAATTTAAATACTAATACTCACAGCTGCAGTACCAACGGTCATATTGGTGACCAACTCCTGTCATGTTCCTTGACTTCGAAGACACTTCACATCTGGTAGATCATTATGCAGTTCGAGACTGTTTGCTTTGTAAAGATGAACCCGAGAGGTACTTAGGTTTCATAAAGGGCATTTTGTGCGTGTAGTTCATAAAGAGTGAGGACCTACTGGTGGACGAATGCAGGTTTTGAACAGCTCCATCAGCAGGAGGAAAAGATGCCCGTTGTAGCCATTCCCTTTCATCTCTACTGACTAGATAGGAAAACTGTGTTCAGCGTATCGATTTTATTGAGTTGCACCGCGGTGATCGACCTCCGTAATTGGAATATACTGACGATAGTGCCCCAATCCATGACAACTTACGAACCTATCAATCAGCACTGGGCAGATTCCCACAGTCTGGCAATCCAGTCAAGCCAACATGAGTTCTATGAGCCTAAATATGCTCCTTTTCAGTCTTTACACTACTCTGCGTAGGTGTCGGTAGATGTTAGCCATAAAACGTATGTGAAAGAGGACAAAATGAAAACATGTACTCAACTGTCAGCCCAAAAACCGCTTGAGCAGTTTGTTTTTGACTTGCGTTTGGTCAATGAACAAACATAACAGCCAAGGTAAAGTTGTATTCTGATACCATAGTAAGTAGAGAGAAGGTGCTCTTAAATTTTGAAAGTGTAGAAGAGAAAAAGAGTATTTTTGCTAGGTCACTGTTCAGTGGATGAACTCGGTCATTTAGGACCTAAAAAGTGACTTATTGCCAGCAGCAAGAGGTCCAGCAATGATCAAATCTAAGATGTGCTTTACCGATCGTGCCACCAAGATGTAGTCTTTCTGAAGTAGTCCAGGGAAGACGATAAGAGCATAGTCTAACCAATGAACAATTAGATATTATGGGTAAAATATCGGGTGCTTGGCAAGTCCTGAGGATGTTTAGAGTGAAAACTAACCAAGCAAGCGATAAATGAATCATGGGCTTCAACATTTAACGATTCGACTGCAGTGCTGCATAATGACAGTTTGAAATGGGAAGCGAATGTACTCAGACAAGGTAATCTAGGGAGACGTTATGGTTCTGGT